TTCTATCCGAAGCAGCATCTCACCAAGGTGCCCCCACTCCTCCGCCTCCTCCTCCTCATGTCCTTAACTTAGTACCTGGTGCAGTGTGTAAAACGTCAGACAAAGGTGGCTGGGCGTGGTGTTGGCCACCCACATCCTTGTGCACCTTGCCGACTAATAGCACTTTCTCGCACAGCCTGTTGAGCTATAGGGAGATATTTGTCTTTGTGTATGGACTGTGCTGCTCCCCCCCCCCTCTCCACAGTTTGCGGAGAAGTTCCAGGAGGTGAAGGAGGCAGCGCGCACGGCGAGAGAGAAGTCGCAGGAAAAGGTGGAGACGTCCAGCAACCACTCACAGGTATGTCCACCCTCCAGGTCACGAACCCATGACCCCTCCAGGTCACGAACCCTCAAGGTCACGACCCCTCTAAGTCACGAACTCATGACCCCTCTAGGTCACGAACCCTCCAGGTCACGAACCCTCAAGGTCACGAACCCTCCAGGTCACGAACCCTCCAGGTCACGAACCCAAATGCACGACAGACCCCTGATGTCACTTTTCAGCACAAACGGCACGATGGCAAGGCTGTGGAGATGCCACCGGTGCAGGGCAGGAGGAGGGGAGACCGAGCGGGCGGAAGGCGAGAGGATGCGGTGGCGTGAGGACGGCGAGTTGCTCGGAGAGAAGAGGCACGGAGCAGAAGCTCGCGGGGAGAGAAAATCCGAGCAGCCGACAGATTGCGGCGGTGGGACTTGGAGAGAGAAGAGTGGTGGCGTGGTCGGCGGGCGCGGTTGTGGCACGGTCGCGGTGCGGTTGTTGTAACACGAACGCCGGCGCGGTCGCCCCCACGCAGGAGTCGAGCAGCAGCGACTCGGCGCGCCAGCAGCAGCAGCAGCAGCAGCCGCCCCAGCACCCGACGGGCACGCCTGGGGCCCCCTGGGGCCACGGGGCCCGCGGGGCCCCCCGGAGACCCCCGGCACCCCCGGCACCCCCCGGGCAGCCCCCCGCCTCAACGGCACAGACGACGAGAAGGTGACGCAGGGCGCCCGTGGAGGCCCAGCTCTCCTACGAGAACGAGCGACTCAAGGTGGCGCTCGCCCAAAGGTGAAGGGGAGGAGAGGGCGAGCGAGGGGCGAGCGAGGGGCGAGCTGTATAATTGACCTGGAAAGGCGTCGTATATAAAAGTTAAGTTCTTGTTGTTGTTCGCCGCTCAGCTCCGCCAACGGCAAGAAGTGGGAGGTGGAGCTGCAGGCGCTGAAGAGCAGCAACTCGCGGCTGTCGGCGGCGCTCACCGAGGCGACCGCCAGCGCCGACGCGGGGAAGCAGCAGCTCCACGCACTGCAGGGGAGGCGGAGCACCTGCGGCAGAGGGTGGGGACACGGGGGAGGGGGGCGGCGGTGGGGGGAGGCACTCGCGGGCAAGCCGAGGGAGCTCTGGCAGTGCTTCACGTGTCCGTGCTGCGTGTTCGCGCACTCACTCCCCATGCCTGCCCGGCCCCCCCTCGTCCGCTTTACCCCGCCCTCCCACTACCCGCTCACCCCCCCCCCCAGGTGTTGGAGCTGGAGAGCGAGACGGGGGAGAGCGAGCGCCGCGGCCGAGAGAAACTCGGAGCTGGCGCAGCGTGTGGAGCTGCTGGAGGCGACGCTGCACGAGAGGGAAGAGGTGAGGGGGGTGGGCGGGACGCCGGGAGTGTGTACGCACGTGCGGTGCGTTTCTGCGCGAGTGCGCACGTCGCCCTGTGTAAATGTGGCGTCGCTGCGCGTGTAGGAGGTGGAGAGGCTGAAGCTGCAGCAAGAGGTGGTGCAGCAGGTGGAGGCGCAAGAGGGACGCCGCCTCCCGCCAGCTCAAGGTGCGTCTGTGCGTTCTCATGTACACGTGCATTTTCTTGTGGTGTGAGTGGAGCGTTGTCGAGTGAAACACCGCGGGGTAGCGTGTGGTGGAGGTATTGAGTGGAGCGTGACGTGAAGAGCTGCGGAGTGCGTGGTGGAATGGTGGAGCGGAGCACGCGGGTGGAGCGCTGCAGCCTGCAGCCCTAGCGAGTGGCCCTCTCCCCCGTGCAGGAACGGGAAGGAGCGGCCGAGGGGGCTGGCGGCACGTGTGGCCGAGCTGGAGGAGGCCGTGGGCGCCGCTCGGGCCCAGCAGCTGGAGCAGGGCGAGCGCCTGCGCGATGTCCTGGGCGTTCTCGATGGCAAGATCTCCGAGCTCACCGAGCTGCGCGAGAGCGTCGCCAAGCTGGTGCTCGCCGACTAACGCGGGCCGCCGCACCGCCGGCAGGCGGGTGGGCAGAGCGCCGCCGAGCCCCTTGGGAGGCACCGACATCAACGCGCACCGCGCGCACATACTCGCACGCACGGCGGCTTGCATGCATTTGTCGGGAGATGGTGCCGCTCTCCGGAGCTCGGTCCCGCGGCCGCGGCCGCGGCGACGGGCCGCGCCGAACGCCGCCGTCGTCGAGAGCACCGCGGCAAAGGTCGCGGTTTGAGCAGCCGCCCGCCGCGGGGAGCGGGCCAGGCCGCCGGCGTCGATGTCGGGGGCCCGTGTGGGGCGCGCCCTCCGCCGGGCCCTCCGCCGGGCCCGCGCCACGTCCGCCGTCACGGTCGTGAGGCCTGCGCGGCCAGTGGATGACGAGTGGGACGCGGAGTTACCAACGCTCGTAATCGTAGCAAATCGTACCGTGGGCGCGCGGTCCGCTCCGCTCACCGTTACGGGTGTGCAGGACCCCCCCCCCCGCCCCCCACCCCTGGGCGGGCTTGCGGGAGCCCCTTCCCCCCTTGGCGGGTGTGTGGGCCCCCAGCGCGGACATGCGGGATGCCCCCCGCTGTCCCCGCGCACCGTCTCGTGTCCGTCCATTCTGTGCGGCGTCATTTGCTAGATTTAGGTCCCTCTCGGCATACGTATCAAATATCGTGCAGTATATCCAGTGAATGGACTTAGGGCTGAACGACTATTGTGTAGTAACCAAATACCTTCCATCCAATCAACTATCCACGATGAGCCTAGTATATATTATCAAATGTGTAGGAGGACTTGCTTGGAGTCGCACTTATATCGTTCATTCGTGGCCGTGTTTAGGCGTAGTGCCGTGCGCGATCGCGTGGAGCGCGACAGCTTCTCCCACGATGCTGCTGCTGCTGCCCACGGCGCTCAGGCGTCGGGCAGCAGGGGTCAGGGGTCAGGGCAGCCACCCTGTGCGTTAAAAAAGGGTCTTGGGGCCGGTGGTGGGGGTCGGAGCGCGTCCCCTTCGCCGCTGGGGACGGAGTATCGGAGGGCGGGTGGGGGGGGGGGGGCGCGCCTGCGAGAGGAGGGGGCGGGAGTGGGTATTTTTTCGGGGGGGGGGTGCCTTGAGGTCGCCTTCATCCCCACCGGGTTCCGCCCCCTTCCCTCGCGGCGGGGGTCACAGGTCTCGCAGTCTTCCTCTCGAGGCGGGCCGTCAGTCAGGCTGCCGTCCCCCGCGCCGTTCCACCACCGCCGACGAGGACGCCCGCGACCAACGCGGCAAACGCACCGCCGCAGTGGCTGAGACGGAGGCAGGGCTCTCTCAACGACAGGGTCGGCGAGGGCTGGCGAGACCGCGTCTCTTTTGTAATTTGTCGCGAGGTCGTTTCGAGGGGGCGTTCGGATGTTTTTCTTTTTTGAATGGGTAAACTTTGCCAATCGTTAAGCTACTACTATTATTACTACTGTGCGTTATCAAGTTTATTTGTGGGTTTTAAGTAGTGCAGTATTACTTTATTTATCGAGGAAACTTGAGAAGCGTTCCAAGCGATGGGCAGCCCTGGGAAAGCTCATCTTTTGCCGACGTTTGAGCCAGCGAGGTCGAGCGTCCCCTCGCGACGTCGAGTGTGTGAACCCGTTCCAGTTGGGCCTACGATCAAAACGAGAGCGATGGTGGGGGCCCTCCCCGCCGAGGGAGCGCCGACCCGCGACGAGAGACGCTGTTGGTTTCTGCCCCGACCCCGCGTCGCTCCTCTTTTTTTTTTTTTTCCCCCACTGCGAATAAATCGTTTTGTCCATGGCGCCGGCGTCCCCTCGTGTCCTCTGTCCGTTTGGGGACTCGGTGAGCGCCGCGGCGTCGTTCCCTCTGGCCACAGTTCCCCTGCGAGTCGTCGTGCGTGGGAGATGGGAGTGCCAAGAGGAAAGCTGTCGCGTGGTGGCACTTCAGATGCAACCTCCGTGCACTGCGCTCCCGTGGCGATGTCGCCAGGTGGGGTGTCTCGTGGAGTGAGCGGGGATTTCTGAATTTAATTTGTCGTTCTTGCCCTGCACCTCCGATTAGCATGGTTGGCTTCATAGGATGCAAAAGTTCAACATACATATCGGTGGTGAATATCTGAACCCGTGCCAAGCCACCTTTAGGTCAACTCGGCTGTAAATGAGCACCTGTTGCAGTGTAGTCAACACCGAGGGAACAAAGGCGGGCGTGGTGTGGATTGCACTACCCCCGAGTGCCGCCCTGCCAACCTTAATAGGTGCTCGCCATCAGAATGTATTCGACTATCTCTGGCTTAACTGGGGGGAGGGGGGGATGGTGCTTTATACAGCGGCGATGCAAAAATAGCCCTCGCTCCCAGCATTCCTCCGTCACTGCTCAAAGCTCCCTCTTCCTCGTGGCACTGTCGGCTTGCTGCTCCCCACACCGGCTGCTTGCGCGCCGCTGCTGCTCCCCAGGTTCTGGGGTTGTGCCGCCTTGAGACGTCGTTCCGTGTGCTCGAGAGCTTCGTCAAGAGCGAGATTCAATTCCTGAATTAAACTTCAGTTCCTGCAGAAGCTCCACACGCAAAAAAATCGTCCGATGTCATGCCAGACGCACAATACAACCCCAAAAACACGAGGTATGCGTACCACGCACACAGTACATGCACGGCACAGATGTGTACACACGGTATCAGCACAAGAAATGAACACTGCCTCATTGGTCATTTGAGTAAAAAGTCATTTATAAGTCTACGAGCCTGGGTAGGTCTATAAATCTCAGTCTTGTGAGAAAGCAATGCAACCATATCTGAAGACGCTGTAGAAGAACAGTGGGCGTATTTATTTATACAGAGGCAGTCGGTCATAGGCAGGGGAAATGGGGAAAGTGTTGAGAGTAAATGGGTTTACACATGTCAGTTATACAAGTCCTGTGCTTAATTAACCCTGGGTGTCCACGAGAGAAATCTCTGGTCTCTGTGACCTCTCTCCTGTATGGTCTGGATACGGGAGGCCATGAACGAGCCCCAATCCACGGACCCCCGAATCGGCTGGAACAGGGGACACGGGTGACTTCCGCTTCCGACAGAAGCAAGGTTTTGGTCAACTCGGAGACCCGGGCGCTCCCCATCACCACCACTCCCAGCGACTCGGAGAGACGAGGCCTCATCCTGGAGTCAAAACCCAAACCCTGCTCGTTGGGGGCTGGGGCAGGGGCCGGCGTCCTGGGGATGAGACCGCCTGACAAACTTAAATCACAGCCATCTCCCATCCTCCTGCTGCTGCCAATCCAGGAACTTTTGTTTCTCCTGCTGCTGATTTTCCTGCTTTAGGTGCAGCGGTGACTTGCTGCTCCTTGTGCAGCGCGGAGACGCTCCACCTCCCACACGGGGCCCCACCTCCACGTAGCTCAGGGCGCCACGCACCGCCCCGCTCGTCACGAGCGCGGCGCCGTCGGTGCTGGGGATCATGCCGCCGCACCCAGAGCCAGGGACGTCACTGGACTCCAGAACCTTGATCCAATGTCATTGGGTCAGGACCTTGGATTCTAATTCACTACTGAACTGGGTCACTGGACCCCAGACTCCTGTGACCTGGGTAACTGCGCAAGGTCACCTGATCCCCAGGGCAAGGGGCGAGTGGGGCTTCATTAACACAAAACCGTTTAAAAAGCCAGACGCCTATAAATAACACCGTGTACAGTCATCTAGATGAGTTTGTAAAACACGTGGAGGTTAAACTCAAAAGCACAGCGGCACGCCCCGTGTAGTGTTGATCGCTCGGCGGGGACGAGGGGCGCTTCGCGGGACCCAAGCTACGGGAAGGCGGAGGCTGAGCACCACGGGAGGGGCGAGTGTGGGGCGAGTGTGGGGCACGGGAGGGGCGAGTGTGGGGCACGGGAGGGGCGAGTGTGGGGCACGTGAGGGGCGAGTGTGGGGCGAGTGTGGGGCACGGGAGGGGCGAGTGTGGGGTAAGTGTGGGGCACGAGAGGGGCGAGTGGGGCGAGTGTGGGGCACGGGAGGGGCGAGTGTGGGGCACGGGAGGGGCGAGTGTGGGGCACGGGAGGGGCCACCGGGATCCCTGTGGTGAAGACCTCCTGGCAGAAAAGTGCCATTGCTCCTTACCCAACAAGAACCTACTTTGCAATCGTCACTTCTCAAAAAGCACCATCCCAATCTCCCCCCCCCCCCCATGGCAGCTCCCGCAGCCTCCCCGCCGGTGTCCGCTCCATGGTGGGTGCACACGCCCCCCCGTGTCTCGATTCCCCCACCCCGGGCTCCCTGCTCGGCCCGTAGCGGCGCCAGGGATGCCGGCGCCGGCGCCGCGACTCCCACGGCGTTTAAAGTGAATGTGCTGCTGCGCCGCAGCCCCTTCTGGAACCAGAGCCTGGGACCGGGTATCCAACCCGGCCGGCTTCGACTGCGAGGCGCTCGAGTTGCGAGTCGTGCAGACGAGGCCTCACAGTGAGGGACCCGGGTTTGACCCCGGGTCCCTGGTGCATCATAGGGGAGTAGGATACAAGTCTCCCCCAGCCAATAAATAAACACAATACTGATTTTTTTTGCATAAAAATCATAAAATGCTCAATTAAATAAACAAAGACGGAGTACAAATGTTGAACGAGGGCAGCGCCACTGGGTCCCGTTGCCGAGAGCCCCAACGTGTTAATTAGACGGTCTCGTTCAACCAACTCGGGTCGTGAAGAGCTTCGACTCCCTCGTGGTACGGCACGGGCGGTGCCGGCGGCTCATGCGGGGCCGCTCCCCCCCCCCCCCCGTGGCCCGCCGGGTGCCGTGCACCCCGCCGGCCGAGGCCCCGGCAGCTCCCGGCTCGCGCAGGCCGCACGGCGACCGGAGCCCTCTCCTCCCCCTCCCCCCACGGGCGCGGCCACGTTGGTGCGCCGGGCCCCGGGGCGGGCGACGCTCAGCTCTCCCACTCGCCGCTCGTCATGTTTTCCTCTTCCTCCTCCTCCTCGTCCGAGTCGGGCGACGCCTCCTTGATCCTCATCATCGCCTGGCGGATGCTCCGCGTGAGGGGGTCTGCGTCGGGGTAGGTGCGGGGCCCGTCGACGTCCGTGCCACCGGGCACCACCTTCTTGAGCTTCACGCCGCGGCGGATCTGCGCCATGAGGCTGTCCTCGTCGCCCTCGTCGCTCTCGCAGGGCGCTGCCTGCCGCTCCGCCACCTTGCGCAGGTGGAAGCCGCCGCGTTTCAGCGACGCCAGCACCTCGTCCATGGGAGAGCCTGGGGGGTGGGGCACGGGGAAGTGCGGTGGTGCGGGAGGGGAATGGGGTGGTCATGCGTAGGTTGGCATGCACGCGGAGACACGGGCACACAGCTAAAACATACATTGGCACTCACAAATGCACAAACACAAACTAAAGACAAAGATTCCCAATATAGCCTTGAACAGACTGTTGGGGCAAGTGCTGAAGGCCGGCACGGCACACGAGGGTGTGGGTGGCCAGCACCATGCCTGTCCGTCGATGTCTCCCCAGTGGTGAAGTTTACACATTTCACCAGGTACTCCTTTGAGACTGAATCGACCTCGGGGAGGCCCAGGACTGGTGCAGATAATCGTCACTGGTCTTAAACTAATCGTCGGCCATGAGCGGAAATCGAACTTGGGTTGCCGGATTCGTAGCACAGCGCGCGAACCGCTACACCACCGGGCGCAGAGACACGTATGTCAATGAGCACCTATGAAGGCCAACATGCACGAACACACGAACACATGCGTGTGCAGGCACGTGTAACGTGTAGCTCGCGTCGATGCAGACCGCACAGCGCTGACCGTGAGTCGCGGCCACGTGTCCAGACGACACGCGGAACGCGACGCAGAGCAACACAACGCAGACACCGTGGGCAGCACGGACACAAAACCGCGCCAGACACGGCCGTGCGCAAACGTGGTGCCAGATACAGTGACTTACAACATCAAGTACAGTGTGCCAAGTACAGTGTGCCAAGAACAGAACTCGGCCGAGATTTCAAAGCCGGGCTCGTTTGCTGCACTCCCCCAGCTCCCTCTGGGAAAACTAAAAATAAAGTAACCACTCAGCAAAACCGTGAGCATGGACCCTCCTCCCACAGACATGTGAATACGCACACAAATATACGTACACGTAACAACACTCCCACTCGCCCCGACAATGCACACCCCCTTAGGTATTTACACAAGCCCCACACCCAAGACAAAGATCTCCTGTGCAGCATTGGCCAGACTACAGTTTCCCCAGTGTCGCCTCTCAACCGGCAAACCAACACATTACACACACACACCACCACTACGCGCCCCGTACACACACATGCGCGCACACACACACACACCACCACTACGCGCCCCGTACACACACACACGCCGCACACACACACCACCACTACGCGCCTCGTACACACACACGCCGTGCACATACACACCACCACTACGCGCCCCGTATACACACACGCCGCACACACACACACCACCACTACGCGCCTCGTACACACACACACACACGCCGCGCACACACACAACACCACTACACGCCTCGTACACACACACACGCCGTGCACACACACACCACCACTACGCGCCCCGTATACACACACGCCGCGCACACACACACCACCACTACGCGCCTCGTACACACACACATGCCGCGCGCACACACACCACCACTACGCGCCTCGTACACACACGCCGCGCACACACACACCACCACTACATGCCCCGTACACACACACCACCACTACGCGCCCCGTACACACACACACGCCGCGCACACACACACCACCACTACGCGCCCCGTACACACACACACACCACCACTACGCGCCCCGAACACACACACACGCCGCACACACACCACCACTACACGCCTGTACACACACACACGCCGCACACACACACACCACCACTACGCGCCCGGTACACACACACGCCGCACACACACACAAACCACCGCTACACACCCCGTTGACACACACCACGCCCCCCTCGCGTGCCCCTACCCCTGCGCTCCGCTGTGGGGGCCGCATTGCCGTCCCCGCCGTTGCTGCTGCGTGCCGCGCTGCGCAGGCGGCTTCGCGCGTCGCGCAGCAGCCCCGTGTCGAGCAGCAGCGTGGCGACCGGCGCCGCCGCCGCCTCCTTCCGGGCCACGCGCTCGGCGCGCTCGGCGCGCCCGCTCGTCCCGGCGGCGCCCGGCGTATCCGGCGATGGCAGCGGGGGAGGGGCGGGGGGCACGGCGGGGGGGGCGGCGGCGGCGGGGGAGGGGGGGGCGGCGGAGGGGGAGGGCCGGGAGGCGGCGGCGGCGGCGCCGTGAGCGGCCGTGGAGGAGACTCGTCCCGCAGAGGAGACTCGTCCCGCGGTGCGCTTCCGGCTTCGTCCGCCCCCGCACCGCCTCCCGCGGGCGGCCCCGCGCAGAAGATGTGAACGGGGATGTCGCGGGGGGCGCGTGGGGCCCGGGCCCCCCGCTCGGGCTTGCGTGCCGGCGCCTGCCACGGTTTGGGGGTCTCGGTGTGGAGCAGCGGCTGCGGCCGCGACGATGGCGACGAGGAGGATGAGGAGACGGAGCAGAGCGACAGGAGCGACGGGAAGCGGCTGCTCACGGCGCTGATGGTGCCGCCGCCGCCGCGCCGTGTGCTCGGGGGTTGGTAGCGTGGAGGTCGCAGCACCATCTGCTGTGGGTGTTTCTGTTTGCCCGTCCACACACGCGCACCGATCAACCACGCAACCACGTGCGTGTGTACGAAACGGCTGGTACGGTGGTCAGCATGGGTGGCGCATCTGCCAGCTATCTCGGCCCCGTGACTTGCCAGCCTTCCACACTTCACATGGTCTCACGGTAAGCCTAGCCGTCACTTGCCACTAAGTGTGGGTGATGTCACTGCAGTGCTTGTGCCGGGCTAGGTGCACTTTGAGGTCACGTGAACTGTCCAACGCTCGGTGGCAGGAGGCCATGGGGCAGACCACCATGTTACAGGTTAACAGAGATGATCGATAGGTAGCAGCATCACCCCACGCTCCCCACAGTGCTAACACAACAGCCGCAGCCATAGCTGCCATAGCTGCCATGGCTGTTGTGGTTGTCGTGCGATCGTAGCTGGGCCGTGCGTCTCCTGTGGTCGGAGCCGCATGGCGCCCGTGCGCGCCCGTACCTGGCGGTACGCCTGCAGCCGCTCCAGCGTCTTCTGCCGCTCGCTCTGCACTCGCTCGCTCTCCCTCCTCCTCCCCTCCCGATGCTGCTCCCGCTTCTGTTCGGCGCAAACACGGGGGGGGGGGGGGCGGTGGGGGGCAGAGGCTCAGGGTCAAGCACACACGGCGGTGGCAGCACAGGGGAGCAGCCGTGGCGTGGAGACGCACGACGCTCACCGCCGTCCCCACGCTCGCCGCCATTTCCACGCTCGCCGCCGTCACCTTGGCAGCGAGCGTGGCGCTGGGGCGAGCGTGCCGGTGCATCGTTCTCCATATTAGAAACGTGGGTGGGCATCACTCGGGGAGACGACCGCAGGAGGATCGGGCCTCGCCGCGGCGACGGCACCGCTCATCGGCGGGTGCACGGCGACACTCACCAGGTGCACGGCGTGGTGCTGCCGGTAGCGCTCGTCGCGCTGCTCCTGCTCCTGCTCCTTCTGCCTTTGCCGAGCGATGCACGTCTCCTGCGGGGGGAGGGGGGGGGCGGTCAGAGGCTTTAGTTTTATTTGGTTTGTTTAGCCAGGCAAGAGTGGTCTCGGTGACCGCAGTGACCAACGTCAAAACTTGGCACAACACTGAAGACAAATTACTTTTTAATCCGTTCACAGAAAAATTAAGCTTGAGAAACAACTACAATAATTTAGGGTGATTATTGCAAGAGGATTTAAAGAAACATCCCAATATGGGACCACAAAAGAAGTCAGCGAGGCTTAGGCAGGAGGCATCAAAGCTAACAAGGGACCATGGACGACGCTCTAGAAGAGTAACGGAGCGGCCGCCACGGAACGGAGCGCGTCCCAGACCACGTCCACCCTGGAGATGCAGCGACGAGATCGGTTCGCGAGGGGCTGCCGGATGGATCGTTGCACCGCGGGGGATCTTGAGAGGTGGCGGCGAGTTGGGGCAGGAGGCCTTCATCCAGCAGTGGATTGACCATGGCTGATGACGTCGAGGACCACCTATGGCTTTATGGGAGGAGACTACAGGGAGGGAGGGGGCAGGGGGTGGGGGGTTGCTTACCCGCTTGCTGCGCAGGTACGCGCGCTTAGAGGATATGCGCGCCCGCTTGCTCTGCAGCCGCAGCGCCTGTTGGCGGAGCCGCGCCGTCTCCGCCGCCCCCGCCGCCTGCTGGGCACGGAAGTGCACGGAGGCCTCCAGGTCCTCCAGGCTCTCGTACGCGTCGAAGTACGTCACCTCGTCCTCGCGCTCTGCGCCGCACGGACACGCGCGTCATTACCGCGGGCGCCAGAGCGCGCGCTGCGCGCGCGTGCCAACGCGATCGTGAGAGCGCGTGTCGAGAGGCGGTGGCGCGCGCGCTCCTCACCGCGGATCTGCCGCTTGAGCGAGTCGAGCGAGGTGGTGAGCAGCTGCTCCTCGCAGCGCAGGCTCTCCAGCTGCGCCGCGTACAGCTCCAGCTGCACGCCGTAGAAGTTGCGCTCCAGCGCGTCGAGCTGCTCCTGCGCGTCCTCGCCCGCCGTCATCTCCGACATCTACGCGCGCACGCGAGCGTCATCCGCGCACGCGACAACAGCCACCGTTCGCCTCTACGTGGTGGTGATGTCACCGTGGCGCTTGCCCCAGGCTAGGCGAACTTTGAGGCCAAATGAAGTGTGGAAGGCTCGATGCTGGCATAAGGTCATGGGACAGACCCAGGTGCCATGATCTCCGCCGCCCTCTGTTGTTGTTGGAGGGCGACTGCCTCCAACTGTCCAATCGCGTCCTTCACGGGCCTTATCGGAAAGTCCACTCAGCTACACAGCATTCTGGACCACATCAGTCCATCTCTCTAGCCTGTGCCACACCCATTTAGCCCCCTCCATCCAGCCAAACAAAAGCTGCTTGGGCATACGGTGGCTGGGCATGCGGGCTACATGACCCACCCAACGCAGCCTCGCCTGCCGGAACTCACCGATGATGACGATTGCGTTCAGAGCTTTCACAAACACAGATATAAACACGCATGCAAGCACGGACAAACGTAACACGTACATACAGAGACACAGCCACTACAAACACGCACACACCCTTACATACGGCACTAACTATGGCAGTGCCTGAGGCAAGGCGAGGGGCGAGGGCGAGGGCAGGGTGGCGAGCGGCCGCGCACCTCACGCTTGATGTCTTGCCGCTTGCGTGTGAGACACATCTCGCGTCCCCGCATCAGCTGCAGCGTCTCCTTGGCGACGAGGAAGCGCAGGCGCTCGAGGCGCTGCTGCACCGTGCCCCACGCCGCCTGCCCAAACTGCCGCTCGTCGGCCTCCATCTGACTCAGCAGGGCTGACAAAGACAAAGAGACCCCCTATAGACTCCACAGACTGCTAGAGAGCAGCACTTATGAAAGCCGGCAAAGCACACGAGGGGGTGAGTGGCCAGCACCTTGCCTGGCCGCCTTTGTCTCCCCAGTGCTGATCTTTATACACCATACTCGGTATTAATTTGAGGCCAAGTCAATCTAGGAGAGGCCCAGGACCCGTTTAGACATTTGTATTGACCACGAGTGGGAGCTGAACTCGGATCGCTGGGTTCATAGCACAGCGCGCTTACCGCTGCGCCACCACTCCCGGAGATGAAGCTCACCCCAATCTCCGTGACCCCCAACTTCATGGATCACCGCCAGGATCGATCGCCATACACCCACGGCACCCACGCTTGCGCACCGCAGCAATAATCGTGTCAACTCCCCCCTCACGCCCACGGTGGCTGCGCACCCTTGAGGGCCTTGACGGTGGTGTGGAAGTACTGCACGGTGATGTCCTGGATAGCGTGCACCGCGTGCTCCGCCTTCTGCGCCCAGTCCTGCTCCTCGCGCTGCAGCTCCTGCACACGCCGGGGGCCCAGCTCCTCCGAATCCAGCGTCTTCTGCAGGGCGGGCGGGGGGGGACACAGGGAGTGAGACGGGAGGTCAGGATTCCACAGGAGCAGATCGCCAGTGCTGCCCCGTGACCCCCTTCTGACTCGTCACCCCATGCTCCCCACTAACCTCACCATTTGTTGAACTGCCGCTCATCCCGAGTGAACCCTGCACCGCGTCGTTCTGCACTCTGACCGCGAGCCTCCCTCTTGCCCCAAACTGTTACCCGCTCGGCCAGAACCACCCTCCAAACCCACGCCGACCCCTGACCCGGCACCACCCCGACCCCACGCCACCCTCTAACTACACGCCACCTCCCGACCCCTTGCCGCCTGACCCCTAAACGCTCCCTCACCCCAAACTACCCCCGTGACCCCGTGACCCGCGTGGCCCCAGCCCCGAGCCCGCGTGGCCCCCGCCTCCTGACCCGGATGAGCTGGCGCTGCAGCATGGCGAGCTCGCGCATGTCGCGGAAGGGCTGCAGCAGGTACTGGTGCAGCTCGGCGGCGGCGGTGACCAGCTGCTCGTACGCGTCGTCCTCCGCCGCGTACACGCACAGCATGTCCACCAGGCGCTCCGTGCGCTTGTGCTGCTCAAACGTCTGTGCACACACGCACACACACATATATTATGAAAGATTTCCCATATAGCCTGAACAGAATGTTGGGGAAAGTGCTGTTAGGCAAGCACCTATGAAGGCCAGCAGGGCACATGACTGAGTGCTGCGGCCAACACCACGTTCAGCCACCTCTGTCGATGTTTTACACATGGCACTAGATACTCACTTAAGGCTGTGTCGACCAGGATCAGTTCAGATATTCGACACTGATGTTGGTCAGGAGTGGGAATCGAACTCAAGACCGCTCCTCAAACACCTGTACAATCAGGCATCTTGTTGTTCAGTAACCCAATCACACCTCACGTTATCGGTAACAGAACCAACCCTTTGGCCTGACCTCTCTAAAAGGTCGGCATACAAACACTCGGCGGGGGGGCGGGGGAAGGGGCACGACATAGCCAATGAGTGTGAAATGCTCAGCGGCGATCTGTTTTGGCCTGCCGTGCCTCTGCACACAGCAGCACCTTCATGAAATAGGCTGTGGGTTTTCTCTGGGGGAATCGCCGCTGGTGGGTAAACATCGTGCCAACCCTTTGTGACTTAACCTGAAAGTTCGGAAGGAGATGGCACTCAGCCTTCCGCAGAGGGTGGGTGGGGGGCGCTCCGCCCTTTCCAGCCCCCTCCAACGCTGCGGGGCTGGACACGATCACACCTCGTGTCATCGGCGGGTGACACGATTGCGCCTCGTGTCTCCCATCGCTTACGCAATCAATGACGCAATGGTGCTGGCGGAGCCAACGTGTGACCCCGACAAGTCCACGCCAACGCCGCGTGGGCACGGGTGGCAGGGCGGCCCGTGACACCGACCAGAAGCCTTGCGCCCAACCTCTCGTCCGACCCCACACAGGACCCCCCCGGCGGTTTCGATCCGACCAGAAGACACAGAACCATGCTCATTCACCGCACGAAGACCTCACGCGAGCACCGCGCAAACGAAAGAGAACGACGCAGGCCGTGGACCTTGCCCTCAACCACCGCCCCGTGCCGTCGCTTGGCAGAGGAATGGAGGAGTCGCTCATCACGGCCTCCACAAATACTGGCAATCAGCTAAATAACCTGGACCTGGATATCGAGACCGCCTTGTGGACCTTTTGCATGGCCGTACGCAAGAAGATCCTTAACGTCGCAACACGGCAAGGAGCGAGCTGGGGTCGGTCTGGCTCCCCGAGCGAGAGGGGCGGAGTATTTTTCTAGAGCGACGGGAAGAACGCCACAGTCAGCGAGACGACTTTACGGGAGGAGGAACGTCCCACTTCACCAACTTGCAATGACCAACGTGGTGAAGTATGGTAAAACAACCCCCATGACTGAAAAGACATGGGAGGGGGGAAGCCTCCATCCAACAATGGATTGACAGAGAGTTGTATTTTTTACATTACTATTTATATCACCGTGGGTAGGAATTCTTAGAAGACAATTCATCGAGAGCGGCAGGCACTGTAGGCAGAGGCAAGAAGTCTCGAGCCTGGACTTGAGCTGGGGGAGGGGGGCAGGAAGGGGGCTGGGGGAGGGGGGCAGGGAGAGGGCTCAGCCTTGCAGGCGGCCAGAGGAAGGAATTCCAAACGGAGGGAGCAGCAGCAGCAGGAGAGAAACAGCCACCTCCCTAATCATAACACCAGCCCTAGCACCGACAATAACACTCGCCGCCCCACGCTCCCACATCACAACTCCACCACTGACTCTACCCTCAACATTACCAGCTCTCACCCCAACACGAGCCTGTAAACCCAGCACTAGCCCTGACCTTAACAACAACTGTAACCATTCACACTGACCCTAACCTTACTGCTGATCCAAATACCGTGGCACGGTTGGCTACGTACGGTGCGAAAGAAGTTCAGACACTAACACTATCCCTGTCACTAACCTTACCGCTGACATTCATCGTAACCCCAACCTTAATACTGACACTAGCCCTCACACTACCCGTGACACGAGTCCGAACAATAACCCTGACGATAACACTGTCACCCATCCTGCCCTCACTTTAGCCCCGACCCTGACACCAACCACATCACGAGCCCTAACCAAGCAACATCTCTCCCCATCTCAGCGGATTAGGGGTTGCAGGTCAGGCCACAACCCTAACATGATCCCAGATCCCAGCGCGACCATCCTCAGCGTTGGCGTTTGGCAGGTGTGCAGTGACGGTATCCAGAGCGCACCGTGGGCAGTGTGCTTACCATGTATAGGTTACAGTGTAAACACACGCACACTACACACAGGATACGGGCATAAACAGTGGTGGAGAAAGACACAAACCGACCCACCACCACGTCACACTGACATACGAACCCAAGACACGTTAAGGCAGCTTGTGTGTGTGTGCATGCACGCGTGTGCACACGTGTACACGTATGCGTGTACACAAACATGAGCATGGTACAGTGGCTTCTGCACTGTTTCAAATCTGGTGATCCGAGTTCGATCCCTGGCTCGAGCGAAGTTCAGTGGCAAGTGGTATTTGAATCAGCCACGGGCCTTCCCTACGTTGACTCAGTCCTAAAGTAATTGCGCACCCGGTCAAGTGTCTACACACCAGCAATGGAGAGGCAATGGAGGATCGGCATGACGCTGGTCACACCAGCCCCTCGTGAGAGGTGCCAGCCTTCGCAGGTGCTCGCCCACCACCCGGGGGATCGTGAATGTGGCTGCCAGTACAGAGACAACAAAAACACTTGCACTCGGTGCATTTTGCGAAGGGGTATTGGGCAGAGTCCGTGGCAATCGTGCACGTGAGCTCACGACGACATCCTCCTGTGAGCGGCGTCACAGAATCGCTCACGTGCCACAGGGGCCCTGGGGGGTGGAGATCACGTCCCCGTGAGCCACCACCGCCCGCATGTGAAGCTGGGTTACCACTGTGAACTCTGGACTCAGTGCATCAATGTGTGTGTCGCTGTCATTGTGTGTCTCAGTGTAGCATGGTGGATGTGTATCGCTGTTATAGTTTGTCGCTAACCACTACACGACCACTCCCCACTCCACCGGAACACACACGCCAGCAGTGAGTCGAACAAGATGCCCCGGGACAGCCGTCAACAGCCAAATAACAACAACCGCCATTCGCAACTAAGTGGCGGTGACGTCACCAATGCGCTTGTGCCAGGCTATGTGCACGTTAAACACACACCCACCAACTGCACACCCACTCAATAGCGCTGCTGTGATGTCATAAGTGTGGTTATTTAAACGCCCCACGCTTACGCAGGGCAGCAAAACAACATCATTACTGCCGGCGCTACAGCACGTGACTCCAGCAGCCGAAATTACGGGTTCAGTGCGATAAAGCTGCAGTAACACGACAGGTTAATTTGTTGTGTCCGTGCATGTATGGTCAGTACACGCGTGTAGGGCGGCTGTGTACACGTGCATGTGGATGGGAAAAGGTGGCGCAGTTGTTTGTGCGCTGCGTTAGGAAAACAATTTCTACCCAAAGCCAACACCAGTTTTATCTAAACGGGTCATGGGCCTCCCCTCGGTAGACTTAGCCTCAAATGAGTACCTGGTACAGACCCACGGGCGTGGGTCTGGCCACACCACCCCCTCGTGTACCGTGCCGACCTTCATAAGTGCTACTCGCTAACAGCACTTGCTCCAACAGTCTGTTGAGGCTATACGGGGGTCGTTGTCTTTGTGCGTGACACAGCGACACAGCGACACAGCTTCCGCGTGACTATGCTGCCGACGACGTCACGTGCTCAGGCGACAGGTGAGCCAGATTAGGGGAGGGGGGAGGGGGCTGGTTAGCCAGGTGGGGGCGACAGGCGAGCCAGATTAGGGGGGTGAGGAGCCCGGTGGGGGTGGGGGGTCATGCAGCTTCATCCAGGAAACCAGAACAATGAGTGCAGGTGACGAACACATGAATAATTACAGCGGACTGCTCACCACTACACACACTCACCACCACCCACTACACACACTCACCACCCACACTACACACACTCACCACCCCCCACGACACACACTCACCACCCCCAACTACACACACTCACCACCCACACTACACACACTCACCACCCCCCACTACACACACTCACCACCCCCCACTACACACACTCACCACCCCCCACGACACACACTCACCACCCCCAACTACACACACTCACCATGACACAGGGACCACAGAGGCCACCGTGCCAGACAAATGCCTTTATGTGCTTCCCCAACTTTATCCCAATCGCGCTATCAGGGTCACAAAACAAACAATAACTTCGGATCTCTCGCAAGGCAGGGCGACTAGACTATGAGAGAATGGCCTGCAGAAGCAGCTACTACAGAGCTGCTTCTGAAATCCCTTCACGTGAACTCTTGTCCTCATAGTTGAGGGCACTGCTTTAACCCCTGTACTGCCGCATAGACGGATGTTACCGCATCACACTCTCGCCAATCGTTTATATTCTGGGGACTGGAATTTAGCCAAATTTAGCGCAGAATAAAATTGTATTTGATGGTGTTTTGTGACCTAGCCGAGACCGGCCCCCTGCAAGCCGGGGGGTGTGAACTCAGGCTCTCGGCGGTGTGGGTTCGGCGCTCCGACCTTTGAGCCAGGCGGCCGCCTCTGCGCCACTGTCGATGGCAAGTCAGCGGCAGCAGCAGCAACCCAACGAGCCGCCCACCGCCACTTTCCACAACTAAAGCTAAATAGATAACTGCAAATAATCGGAAACACGCGGCGGGTCGCGCCGAGCTCCGCTTGGCCCAACTCCACACGCGGGAACGCTCCACGCTCGCCACGGCGGCGGCAGAGGAATCGCTGTCAGGATTGGAGACCATTTGAACACTGGAGAATTCAAAACGAAACTTAAAAGGGTGAAAAACCAGAAGTTTTAGTTCTCCCGAGACGCAGTGCGACACCAGATAGACCTGTGCCATCACCGCCTCTCACGGATTTCATCAACACCATCATTATCTTCTAGATTTGAAGCTTTCGTGACTGCAAGGATTCATATTCTTAGGTTTTTTCGCTGCCACCGTTGGCACTGCATACTCTCACCGATCACTATCATACCTGCCACTCCCACTCAATACGACCATCATCACGGCCACCATCAACACTAGCACACTCTCCATTGAGATCATCCAAAATTCCGAGTATACATTTTTGTTATACCATCAACAATCCTCCATCCACTGCTGGATGAATCAAGCTTGTGACCTGGGGAAGTCTGGTGTTGGTCTGGGCTTGCCCCATGTGGCCCTGCACCCCCATTATCCGGGTCACAGGGTAGACGCATCGCAGGCACAATTTCGCCTCCCAAGAAGCTCATTAGCAAGTGGACGACCTCACAGATCCACTGCCCAGACAGAGAGGGACCCTCGTCCACCTTGAAGTGCCACCACGCTTGGGTCCGGCACCCACTCTCCCTCCTCCTCACCCTCCTCCTCACCCTCCTCCCGTGTCGAGGCTTTAATTATTCATTCACCGTCTACCTGCCCTGGGGGCTAGGAGAGGGTGGTGGTGGTGGTGGGGGGGCTTGGCCCGGCTCGCACCTGCCACCCAACGGTGGACGAGAGTCCAGGTGGGACCCAGCTGTGGGAAGTGGGGGGGGCAGCCCCCCTCCCCTCCCCAGCCCCCCTCCCCAGCCCGCGTCACTCCACGCGGGACGCGGCGGCGGGACAATGGGCCCAGTGTGGCATGAGACGAGAGCTTTGTGCGCGACCATCTGCCACGGGGTCTTCTTCTTCTCCTCCTCCTGCTGCCAGGTGGGAGGCGGGGGGCTCCCTGCCTGGCGGGAGGAGAAGAAGACCCCCCTCGCCGTCTCCCTCACGGGATCCATATACCCGTCCCGGGACGCCAACCCCTGTACCCGTCCCGGGACCCCCGTCTCTCTCACTGTGTCCCCCTGTACCCGTCCCGGGACCCCCGTCTCTCTCACTGTACCCCCCTGTACCCGTCCCGGGACCCCGTCTCTCTCACTGTGTCCCCCTGTTGTTCTAATCACAAAAGGCCTTGCCGGTGACAAAGGGAACCAGGTCTCGGCGGGGGCGAGTGGCCGTGAAGGGGCCCACCTTAGAGCGCGCCACTGACCCCCTCGGCCAGCTGCCAGGGGCGCTGACAACAGACGCTGTCCCCGTGAACATAAATCCCCTCTGACCCTCACGCCAAGAGGTCACGACCCTCATCCAAACCATGGCAACAGTTCAGCAGACCACGAGACCCGACTAGGAATACCACGTGGCTCGGGACCACTGTCAATAAGGGGGCAAACACTGAGCCCATGGCCCCCCTCTTGATGGCCTCACAAACCACCAAACCCTGAACCCGTGACCCCGATCTTGAGATCCGAATATCCTGTGACCTTGACCTCGTGACCCTAGTTCTTGAAGTCCGAATACCCCGAAACCCTGATCTCGAGACGCCAGCAGCCCGAGACCGCGTGACTTCACGACACTTGACACGAGGCAAGACCACAAGACCACGACCCCACGGGACCCCACGGGACCCCCGCAACCCCCCGTCTCTCTTACCGCCCTGAGCGCGGCCTTGGCCCGCGTGAGGGCCGCCTCGTGGCCCGCGCGCCGCAGGTCGCTGAGGCTCTCGTAGTATCGCTCCAGCTCGTCGTCCTGCCCGAACATGAGCTCCCGCAGCACGGTCCAGCCGCACGCGTCCAGAGCCGCCGCCAGGTAGAGCTGCAGCGCCGAGCAGAGCGCCTCCCGCTCGGGGTCGCGCAGCCGCCCGGCGTGGGCCGGGAACAGCAGCGCCCACACCCCCGAGGGCGACTCGGGGAAGGCCGGGACCCAGGCCTCGAGCGCGGGACTCAGCGCGCTCAGCTGCACGTGGAGGCCGCGCAGCTCCTCGCACGAGAAGAGGCCGGCCCAGCTCGTGTCTCCCACCTCCTCCACCACCTCCACCACCACCTCCACCTGCTGCTGCTGCCCAGGGCCACCCCGCGCCGCCCTCAGGGCCCGCTCCCGCTGGGCCGTGCGGTCGTGGCAGCTGATGGCCGCCTTCTGCTCCACGTCGTTCCACGCCACCATGAAGGCCACGCGGCGCCGCGCCTCCTCCTTGAAGGCGTCGGCGCGGATGGCCACCCACCCCTCCAGGCTGTCCGCGCGCTCCTCCGCCTCGCACATGGCGGTCGCCACGGCTGCCGCAACCTCCTCCCCCTCGAGCACAACCACGACCGCGGTGACCACCACCACCACCACCACGGCGGCAGCCCCGTCGGGCCGGTGCGTGACCACTCTTCTTTGTTGTTGTTGTTGTTGATGATGATGCGGTGGTGGTGGTTGGTGCCTTCGCTGTCGACGTGGTGCCTGGCTCTGTTGTCGCTCTAGTCGCTCTAGTCGCTGGTGGTGTGGCGATGTTGATGTTTTTGTTGTTGATGTCGTTTGTCAAGTCGTGCAGTCGCTCTTGCCGCCGCTGCCGTCGCTCACGGAGTTGTTGTCTTTGTTGTCGTGGATGTTCGCCTTGTTGACCACGCAGTTGTTGTCGTTTATGCTGTTGTAGTTACTGTTGTTGTTGTTGTTGTTCTCGCTGTTGTTGTCGCTATCGGAGCGTGCGGCCCAAAGCCGCGGGCGCCGCTGCCATTTCCTCCTGACGTCTCAAGCCCCGCCCCTCACTCCCTAGCCCCGCCCCTTACTCCCTAGCCCCGCCCCTCACTCCCCATAGCCCCGCCCCTCACTCCCCATAGCCCCGCCCCTCACTCCCCATAGCCCCGCCCCCTCATTCCCCATAGCCCCGCCCCTCACTCCCTAGCCCCACCCCTCACTCTCCATAGCCCCGCCTCTCTAACATAGCCCCGCCCCTCACTCCCCATAGCCCCGCCCCTCACTCCCCATAGCCCCGCCCCCCTCACCCCATAGCTCCGCCCCCTCACCCCATAGTCCCGCCCCTCACTCCCCCTAGCCCCACCCCTCACTCCCCATAGCCCCGCCCCTCACTCCCCATAGCCCCGCCCCTCACTCCCCATAGCCCCGCCTCTCTAACATAGCCCCGCCCATTTACAGCCGTGACCCAGCCTCTTCACCAATAGCCCCGCCTTCGTTTGTAGACCCCGCCCAACTGACGACGAAGCCCCGGCACGTGCCCCGCCCCCCTCTGTGCCATTGGCTGGAGAGCGCGCGAGTGTTGATGTCGAGCTCCTCGCGAATGGTCGGAATCCACCCACGTGCGTCATTGTCCCCGACTCCGCCTATTGTTTACGCTGTGACGTCACCTCCCCGAGCCGCTGTTGCCACGTGACTCGCGGGAGGCTGACGGCGAGCTCCTCACCCAAGATGGCGCCCCCCATCCTCCACCTGGTGACGTCACGCGCGGCCCTTGACGAGGCTGTCCACGCGCGCCGGTGACAGGTCCCGTGGCGGTCCCCGCGAAGTCTGTGGTCACCCAGGAGCCTGTCGCCTGGCTGGGCCACTACACATGCTTATTGTGGACTTGATTATTTAGCACGCGCAAGTTAGACAAAGCTTTTGTCTATTCTATTGTTTTTGTAGCCGCACGGTGACGGCCGAACAGGCGGCGGCGAGGACACCCAAACAGGACCCCGGAGTCCGCGCACTGTACGACTTCCTGTGCAGCTGGCGGTGAGTACAGTGCGGATCATAACACAGCAAACATTGAACAGCAACACAACAAACATTGAACAGCAACACAACAAACATTGAACAGGCAACACAACAAACATTGAACAGCAACACAACAAACATTGAACAGGCAACACAACAAACATTGAACAGCAACACAACAAACATTGAACAGCAACACAACAAACATTGAACAGGCAACACAACAAACATTGAACAGCAACACAACAAACATTGAACAGGCAACACAACAAACATTGAACAGCAACACAGCAAACATTGAACAGCAACACAACAAACATTGAACAGGCAACACAACAAACATTGAACAGCAACACAACAAACATTGAACAGGCAACACAACACACATTGAACAGGCAACACAACAAACATTGAACAGCAACACAGCAAACATTGAACAGGCAACACAACAAACATTGAACAGGCAACACAACAAACATTGAACAGGCAACACAGCAAACATTGAACAGGCAACACAACAAACATTGAACAGGCAACACAGCAAACATTGAACACGCAACACAACAAACATTGAACAGGCAACACAACAAACATTGAACAGGCAACACAGCAAACATTGAACACGCAACACAACAAACATTGAACAGGCAACACAGCAAACATTGAACACGCAACACAACAAACATTGAACAGGCAACACAGCAAACATTGAACAGCAACACAACAAACATTGAACAGGCAACACAACAAACATTGAACACGCAACACAACAAACATTGAACAGGCAACACAACAAACATTGAACAGCAACACAACAAACATTGAACAGGCAACACAACAAACATTGAACAGCAACACAGCAAACATTGAACAGGCAACACAACAAACATTGAACAGGCAACACAACAAACATTGAACAGGCAACACAGCAAACATTGAACAGGCAACACAACAAACATTGAACAGGCAACACAGCAAACATTGAACACGCAACACAACAAACATTGAACAGGCAACACAACAAACATTGAACAGGCAACACAGCAAACATTGAACAGGCAACACAGCAAACATTGAACACGCAACACAACAAACATTGAACAGGCAACACAGCAAACATTGAACACGCAACACAACAAACATTGAACAGGCAACACAGCAAACATTGAACACGCAACACAACAAACATTGAACAGGCAACACAGCAGTGTAACAACACGTTCACAGCAGCGCGGTGCAACACCACACGGACATCCCGGCGTACGAGCACGGCGAGAACAGGGCGGTGTAACCGCGTGCCCATGTAAGTAAGTGGAGGCGCAGCCCTGCAAGTGCACGAGGCGCAGCCCTGCAAGTGCACGAGGCGCAGCCCTGCAAGTGCACGAGGCGCAGCCCTGCAAGTGCTCGCGGCGCAGCCCTGCAAGTGCTCGCGGCTCACGCCACAGGCGGCGGAAGCGGCCTCCGTGATGTTTGTGGGGCGCTCCGCCACCGTGGGTGACACCGTGGGTGACAGCCACAGAGAGCCCCTGGCGTGAAGAGGGAAGTTTTGGCCTACTCTTCCACTCTGACCAGACAGATGGCTTTGCAGAGGGAATCATAAATATATACGATTAAAAATATGTAGCAATACAAGACACTATACATGAAAGGTTAAACAACAGCACGTCGTTTATAAATGTGCTAATAACAGCATACGCACAGTAATGGACGCAGCCTCGTGGCAATCTACCGCTGGATGAAGGCCTGCTGAAGGGCCTGGGGCCGGAGTCGCTCTTCGCTGGCCTGAGCCAGTGAGCTAACTGGTGCGCCACCGCTCCACCCCAACACAGAACGTACTAAGAAGTACCAACCTATGTTATATGAAGAGTATGAAACAAATGATGACAGTAACATACAGTAGCACACCAATAATAACGTGCTTACATTGTAACAAACAGCAATACCAAAGCAGAGCAACTTAAAACTCAAGTCGCAGTGACGACAGTGACATCTCGGTAGCAATGGGAGTGCACGCGTTAAGCATGCGTGCAATCACACAGCAACGTCCGTTTACAGCACATTGTGGTTATAAGCTACTCACCTTGAATTGCATTTCATGTTCTTGGTGGACGTGCTTGTGCGACAGGAATTATTACATATCTTTGAACCACAAAGCTCGGAGACGCTTCCCATGGTTGTACCGTTTAAATTTCCATCTGGTACAGTTAAAATGAGAGGCTGGTAGATTCCATGGTTGCGGTCAAGGGACGGCTGCCTTCTGATTAACCACGTTATGTATTCTGATAATTTGGTAATTGCTGTTCACTGACAAGGAGTTGATCAGCTGCTGAACCTGGGGCTTGCCGCTAAGAGTTGTCCGTCAAGGCCAGCCCCACCATCTCGTGACTTCCAGCCATCAAGGACTTGACACTGCACATGGCTTTAAAGTGCAACAAGCCTGGCACGATCGCTGTGGAGACCCCACAGTGGTAAACGGCGGCTGTGGTAGTTGTTTATACGGAATGTATGCGAGTGCGTAAATATATAATGGTGTGTACCCCAACCCCTTAAAATCTCACAGTGACCGCCATCTCGCATTGGAACTTGTGTCTACGGGACCCCTGGAGTCTGGGGACGGAGCAGAGGGGTCAGGGTGGGGGGCCAGGGCAGTGGGGGTCATGGAGGCGAGCGCCCCAGACTACGTGACGGCGCAGCTGCTGGGCATGGTCAACCAGGACGACATCAGCGCTGTGGTGCAAGCACAGCGCCACATGTGAGGCTGCTCCGCACACTCGTGGCGTTACCAACTCCTAACTCCAAACAGACACCGTCACTCACCAACGCAATCACAACCAGTACTCACGATGGCAACCTCCACTTACCACCACTGCCACAACCTTTAAATCCATGCAATAACCAATTGACCACCCACTGACGATGGCCATTGGACCGGCTGCCCTGGCAGTCCCACCCATCTCATCCCAGTTGCTCTGTCAATGAACCCCGCACCACTCTGCCTTCTGCCGCTTCTCCCCTCGTCTCCTCTGCCCCCTCCCCCCAGGTTGGACCGGTTTGAGAAAACGAACGAGATGCTGCTAAACTTTAACGAGCTGTCATCGTCGCGCCTCGCCTCCATGACAGAACGCTTCACCCAGCACACGCGCACGCTCGCCGACATGCGCCGCGACCTCGACACCGTCTTCCGTCGCATCCGGCAAGTACCCGGCGCACACGGGCACCCACACACGGGCACGCACACACGGGCACGCACACACACGCAGGCATAGAGTACACACAAACGAGTACGCATGCTCACAGAGGTGGTTTCGCATAGTGTGAACTAATATCTTTCTTTTCTTTATGGGATACAGTTTTGGCCCCCTCACACGTGTTGTTCTTGCCTGGGTCCGGTTTCCTCCCACGTGACGAAAATATCTTTATAGAGGACCACAGAGCTTGGACAATTGTTGGTAACACCGGCTCCCCGCCGTCTGGCTGCCTTCCCTCTTGTCTCTGGTGCCTCAGCAATTGTGAGACGCGATCTTGCGTGCATACGTAAGCGCATGCATACATACAAGCACACGAGCTCTAAAGACCTCTCGCTCGTACACGTACGCGACCGCGACCACAGGTACAAATGCAAATGAGTACGCGCACGCAGACACGTGAACGCATTGGAGCATGTGCGCTTCTCGCGTGCGCGTTGTCTTTGGAGGAGCGGTCTGCACTGCCCTTGTGGACCCCGTGACGCGGTCGGTGTCCCCACAGAACCCTGCGGCGCAAGCTGGAGAAGCAGTACCCCGAGTCGTTCAGCCGTGAGTGTCGCCCACCCCTGTGCCCCGTCACGTTTACGGATGGCAGTACGGTAAATGCTGGGATAGCAGCGATGCCCACGTCCCAGAGAATAAAAAAAAAACCTTCCTGTGGAAGATGGCAGCCTTCACGTGGCCCACTGTTTAGTGATAAATCACGACGCATGCCATCGACGCGGCGACCGAACATCGATCTCCCCGTCTCTAGAGCAACAACACGAGCGAAATTCTAGTTGTTGCTCAGCATCGATC